GAGCAACCTACCGCAAGGTAGAGGGAGGCATGAAGAGGACCTGTCACTGGTCAGAGACATCCTACCGCATGTGAGAGGACGGCATGAAGAGGACCTGTCACTCACTCCTGGCTATTCTAGTGGGTGAGAGAAGAATCAGCCAGCAGATGACTAAAATGACAGAACGGGCAGTGAATCAGACATTCACCAAACATTCATCTTGCAGGTTCATGTGTTTTAAATAATAGTGATTGATTCTCCGCCAGTGAATGATCGTGAAAGTCACATACAATTTCTCTTACCTGATTGGCCCGGCGGAGGAACCCCGCTGATCCCTCTGGGCAAGCAGAGGAAGACGGTCAGGACGGCGGCCTTGTTCCCGCAGCACGGTTCTATGGCGATGGGTTTCGGCATTCCCTGGAGAGAGAATAAAGAGGACTCATTAGAGGAGAGCAAACTACAAATCACGCCCCGCAGATCCCAGATACAGAAAGAAGAAACTTTCACCAAATCAGAAACCGGAGTGTGAGAGAGGGAAGCGCAGATTCCTATACAGACAATTCAACTGACACTGCAATGTGCAGGAAACCTCAGCACTACAAACCCCATCGTGCCCCTGTCTCTGGGAGTCATGCCCGTGCCTGGCAGAATCTTGCAATGCCTCATGGGAATTGTAGTTCCGCAGCACATGAAGTGGCAAGTTTCCCTGGTCTAGGCCTAAGGTACAGCAATGCATACAATGTCTAAATCCCTCCGAGTCCCCGAACTCCGAGCAACAATGTATCGGCTGGAGATCCTCCAATCATCTCTGACACTGTCCTTCCTTCTGGAGGAGGGCTACGTCTGTTCCCCATGGTCCCTGTGTGTGTTGTAGTCACCTCTCCAAGCTCCCCCCCCGGGATGGACTACAATCTCATGTTTAGTTTACTCATATTGAGATTGTAGTCCATCCCGGGGGCGGAGCTTGGAGCGGTGACTACTCTACAACACACACAGGGACCATGGGGAACAGACGTAGCCCCCCTCCAGGAGGAAGGACAGTGTCAGAGATGATTG